TTCTAATCTCTTTCGAGATTTATTTATGGGTCTCTGAAACAAGGACAAAAATGAGCTTGCATAGCTGAGATGGAGGTGGTTTATGGGCATGGCTCCCACATACCTAACTTTTGGCCGTTTAATTTCTTGGTAAATTTGGTCCCAAATTATTGGGGTCTGGCATAGGCACAGCAGCAATTTGGGGGTATCAGGAAGCCTTAAGTTACCATCAGGCTGCTGATGCATTCACCCTGCAGGTACAAGTTGACCTATTGGTGACACCACATCCCCACCATCAGTTTTTTCTTGCTTGGATTCAGAATGTGGATCATGGGGACAGGGTAAGGGAATATTAGAAACTAGAACCCTTCAGGCTCATCATTACCAGAGACATTGAGTTCTCTTTCACCTGAACCTAGAGGACATGACATTCTTTCCTTCTGAACTAGAGAACGTTTCACTGAGCACAACCTCCTGAACGCACAGTATAATGGCCCTAGTGTAGGGGGTGTTGGCCTTTCCTCTCCCTTCCTCCATTCCTCCCTTCCTCCCTCCCTCCCTCCCCCTCTCTTTCTTTCTCTTTCTTTCTTTCTTTCTTTCTTTCTTTCTTTCTTTCTTTCTTTCTCTCCTCCCTTCTTTCCTTCCTTCATTCTTTCACTTTCTTTCTTTCTCTCTCCCCCTCTCCTCTTATCTCTTCTCTCTCTTTGTTCCCAGACTCTGGCACTGATAACATCAGGGATCTGGTATCTCCCAGAAGTCATTGATGACCATGGCATTTTATAAGGAGTCAGTGGACTCCCTTCTCTCAGGCCTCCTGTCCTCACAATCCTCTGTATTCCTTAAAAACCCACTCATCCTGTGCCCAGAGAGAGTGTTTGAATGATAGGCTTTGCCCTTCTCCTGGGAAGCCACCTCGCAGGAAACTTCTGACCCCAGAAAATTACCACCCTGCAGCCCTCTTTGAAATATGACGTACCTTCCACCTCTTACTAATTCACCCACTTCTATAGCTACAGAACCTGGATGTATGTGGAGGAGCCAGACCACTCTCCCAGGACTAGCCTGCCCTGGCTCTGTTCTGCCTACATTGCTCTGGTTCTTAGGTGTGAGGAGGTTTTCTCTCAAAACCTCCCTCTGTACTCGATTTCTCTGACTCAGTGCTTCAGTGATTTCCTGAATCATAACTGAATGAGTTGATCAGACCTGACCCCCAAGTCAGGGCCTAAGAGCCTGGCTGGGAACCTCCTAAAACATGCTGATCATTTTTTGTGTCCTCTATTGGGTTTTTCTCTTTATTTTGCGGGGGTCAGGGGGAGCACACCCAGCAATGATCAGAGGCTACTCTGGCTCAGGAACTACTCCTGGCAGTGGGAATATATATATATATATATATATATATATATATATATGGCTTGGGGACCATATATATATATTGCTGGGGATTAAACCCAGGTTGGCTGTGTATAAGGCAAAGGCCCTACTCGTGAAACTATTGCTCCAGCTCTGTATGTTGGTTTCTGACCACATTGAGGCCAGCAAGAAAAGGAGCAGATGTTCAGCTCTCCTCCTATTTCCTTGAGAAGCATGAATCCCTCCTCTGTCTTCAGAGAGGCCGCATAAGAGGCAGACAGGTCCATATCTGGTAGCTGAGAGTCCAACTGTTTTCTGCAGGGCAAAGAAAAATGTAAATAAAAGGAGTGGCAGGCTTTGGACCCACTTCTTGAAGAAGCACTCCCCATCCCCACTGGCCCAGCAGCTGTTCTAGGCCCGACACAGCCCAAGGGTCTGTAGTGGAAATTCAATTAAATTTTCTTTCCTCTGCCCAGAGCCTGAGGCTGGTCCCTGAGCCTGCTACTCCTCCAGAAATTCCCTTTTCCCATGTCACCACACCTGTCAAATAGGCATATTTTTTATCTTTCTCAACTGTCCAAGTTTTTTTATAAGGGGTATCTTATCTTTAAAACGGTGTTTATAGGGTCTGGAGAGATATTCCAGCAGGCAAGGCAGTTGCCTTGCACGTGAATGACCCAGGATTGATCCCAGGAATCCCATAAGGTGCCCTGAGCACTGCCAGAAGTGATTTCTGAGTGCACAGCCAGAAGTAATCCCTGAGCATTGCCAGGTGTGCCCCCTCCCATAAAAAAACAAACAAAAAAATAAACTTTTTTTATCTCTGCCATTTATGGGAAGAAGGAGAAGAAGAAGAAGGAGGAGGAGGAGGAGGAGGAGGAGGAGGAGGAGGAGGAGGAGGAGGAGGAGGAGGAGGAGGAGGAGGAGGAGGAGGAGGAGGAGAAGAAGAAGAAGAAGAAGAAGAAGAAGAAGAAGAAGAAGAAGAAGAAGAAGAAGAAGAAGAAGAAGAAGAAGAAGAAGAAAAGCAGAAGTGACTGCAATTAACTGCATTAGCTGAGAAGAGGACAGGAAGACAAAGGTCTTTGATCCTGGGTTGCCCATTCCCTAAACTCCAAGAGTTGGGGCACCCAAGTTGGAAATTGGAAAAAGCTTAATGTGATAGTAGATGGAGTCTCACCCCTAGGAAAGGGTTAGAATTTCCACCCTGCCACGGGCAGAGGCCTAAGACAGCAAAAGCTCATTAGAAAAGCAAGTCCTTCTAACAGCTGGCATTGAGGAGGGAAGAAAGCAGTACAGTGGCCCCTTTGCATGGGGACAGCCCTTCCTGATACCCCCCTCCAGGGGGCCCAGGTGCTGCAGATGCCAGTCGCCCAGCCCCCAGTCTCCTCTCCATGTTGGGGTTGGGCCTTCGGGAGCTGTGCTAGCTCCAGCATTCCCCCTGCCCCCACTGCCATTTCCCCAGACCCCAGGTGCCAGGGTGTCCACAGCTTATTCCTCACTGCAGCCCGATGCTCATCTCTGAGTCACCCTTTGATGAGGTCCACTTCCTGTCTGCACCCCGTTATTAACTGGACTGTTCTTTCTCTGACTGTGTATACTTGTCTCCCAGACAACCATGGGGAGTGATGGGCAGGCCAGGACTCCAGTGCAGGCCCAGCCTTGCCTCCAACCCAGGCACTTACCCTGTCCCCGCACCCATACCTCAAATCGGAGCTGAGTTTGGGGTCAGGGCCACAGACTCAGCTCCTCCTTCCAGGGCTCCCAGCCCATTGCCATGGAAACCCACAAACCTACAAACTCCTGTAACTTCTGTGAAGTTGAAGAGCACGGTTCTTGCACAGAAAAGAAGACATGCAGAAGAGCAGAAGAGAGAAGCCACCTGTGGTTCCAGGTCAGATGATGGCCGAGCCTTGCTTTCACTGCTCCTTCTGTCAGGGAATTGCCACACCCTTAGACTTAAGTGAGATGGGGAGGAGAGAGACTTTCTCCCTATCCACCTCTGTCACCCTGAGACCTAATGGGAAGATTAGGACCTATAAAGCCTGCAAATGAGCCGCTGAGTGGCACGGGCCAGATGACCATCTCTCCCTCTGCCCCCCACCTGAATTCTACTTGGTCTTCTCAGCACAGGAGTTGAGCCTCACCATCTTGGGGAGCCACGGACTCAGGCTAGAGTGAGTAATTTTTCCTTGCAGGAAAGGAAAATCAGTCTTAGCCTTGCCTCCAACTGACCTACCCAAGGTCTCCAGGTATTTTATCCTATCTGGCAGAAAAGAATTTCAGGAGGAGACAAGCAGTGAAGTAAAACATTTTATTTGAACTTTATTTGGAGACTTTTAGGAAGGGCAAGGGAGAAGAACAAAGGAAAAGAGCTCAAGGGAGAGCACTGGCTTCTCCAGAGATGGAGAGAACCCCAGTACATATCTCAAGAGGGGAGATGTGGGTGCCACATGTGCTTGGCCACATGAGTACAAGCAGCACATGGGTCCAGGCAGCATATGCACACCAGGTGGCTTTTATAGGATTTCTCTAAACTGTCTCCACGTGGGCTTCTACCTAGGTAAAAGTCCGTTGCTAGGGTAGTTGCCAAGGGGGTAGAGTTGGGAGTGGTCCATGGTCTTTTTTGAAATTCCTTTCCTAACCTTTGTTCCTGCTGGAGCTTCTCTCAGAGTCTCTTGGCACCAGCAAGGTCTTATCAGGCCTTAATTCCTATGCTCACAGGTGAGGGCTTTTTTTGCAAGGCTATTGGTTTTTATTATTTCCCAGGAATTTCATTGCTATGAGGGACTTTCCCTGTCTACCCACCTGCCTACATCAACTGCATTCTGATTACCTCTCAGGGGCACATAACCAGCTCCCCTCTGCTCTCCCTCACCATTGCCCCGCCGGTCAGTTTCTTTTGTGGTGGACAGCTGGGTTGCTTCTGGTATTGCAAATAATCTTGGAATATTCTCCATCCACTTAGCAATATTTCCCCTTGACCTGCTCAGGGACGTGCATCACCTGGTTACTGGGCATGCAGCCATGGACAAGACAGAGGCATGAGCAGACACATCTCTGGGCACATCCTTGAGGAGTTCCTCAGCTCAGCGCGGGCCTGGCAGGGGCACTGCTGGGCCACAAGACACACCTTTACCTGTCCCAGAGTCCTCTGTGGGACTCACTCTGTTTTCAGCCATGGAACACTGTGCTCTGGCCTGGGCTGGCAGCAGGTTTGGAGCAAGGAAGGCCACGGGGGACGGAGCAGGCCCTGGAACTGGGATCCTGGCCTGTGAGGCTGTCCTTGTCTCTTGGACCAGAGCTTCAGTCCGTGGCTGCCGTCCTAGGTTGGACTGCTGGGTGGCGGGCACGCAATAGAATGTTAGAAATCGGCCACTCGACACGCCCAGAGCTTCCAACGGGCGTCCCGAGTTAGGATCTGGGGACACTCGGGAGGGAGAATTGGGCTCCGAGGGCGGGTCTGGCCCAGTCCCCCCGGCCCCTCCCCTTCCAGCGCTCGGGGCGCAAGCCCAGGTAGCTCGGGAGCGCAAACCTGTCGAGCCGGTTTTGAGTCGCGGGAAGGAGGTGCTAAAGGATGCACCGCTGGGCCGGTGCTGGGTCGGCACTCTTGGCTGCCTGAGCCTGGCTCCCTCCTACCCGCAGCCCGCCCGCCCGCCCGCCCGCAGACCCCAATGCCGCGGCCGTCGCGCCTCCTGGCGCCCCTGCTGGGCCTGGGGCTGACCCTGAGCCTGCACGCGGCGGGAGCCACCGCCGACTGCGGGTCTCTGGGCCCCGCCGAGCGCCTGGTGTTCACCCCCGCGTCCCGCGCACGGTGGCTGGCCCCTCGCGTCCGCGCGCCGGGACCCCTGGACCCGCTCTACAGCACCGTGCGCCGCTTCCTCGCGGTGGTGCAGCTGAACCCCTTTCCCGCGGGTGAGTCGCCCCTGCCAGGGTTGGCCTGGGGAGGGGGGGTGGTGGTGGTCAAGGCAAGCTGCATCTCCCCCCACCCAAGGGACGCCAGCGGCCAGCAGGCACTAGCCAGCCAGGGCACCTTCCAGAAGGCCTGGGACATCCGCTGAGGTGACCCATTCCTGCCTTCCCATGTGACCTTGGGCAAGCCCCTTTGCTCCTGCCTGTCTTCCTCCCCGAACAGAGAACTGGGGGCACTGGGAACCAGGCGGCCTGTGGGAGCTGCGGAACCCCATCCCACCTGTCCCCTGCCCAGGGACTGAGAGGTGCTCCCACAGGCCTGGTGGTTTCTGCTTTCCACCCAGCCACAGCTCCAAGTTCTCTCCACCCAGATTCCAGGGGAGGTTGGGGGGTCGGACATCCCCGCAAGAGGTGGGCAGGACCCGGAAGACCAGGTCCCAGCTTGCCTCTTTACCTAGAGCTGGTGAAGTCGTTACTGAACGAGCCGGAGTCCGTGAAGGTGGATGAGGTGAGCTGGGGAGAAGGGAGCGCCGGGCAGTACCAGGGCTGGCAGGAAGGGGTTTCCACCAGGCACCGAGAGTGTGCGCAGTGTGTTCGCCTTGCACATAGCCCACCCGGGTCCAGTCCCGGCCACCGCATACGGGCCCTCCAGCCCAGCAGGAGTGATTCCTGAGTGCAGAGCCAGGAGTAAGTCCTGAGCAGCCCCACTCCGGGTGCGAGTCTAGGGACTCCCCCAACGGAACCAGCCTGGGTTCCGGCCCCAGCTGGACAGGCCGAGCCTCCTCCGGGCACTTTTTGTTCTCTCTCGGGGCGGTGGGAGGCTGGGCGCGGGGTTCAGGCCCGTCCCACATGCCGGCCCGACTCCCCAGGTGGTGCGGTACCAGGCGGGCTACGTGGTGTGCGCCGTGATCGCCGGCCTCTACCTGCTGGCGGTGCCCACCGCCGGGCTGTGTTTCTGCTGCTGCCGCCGGCGCCGGCACTGCGGGGGCCGCGTGAAGACGGAGCACAAGGGCCTGGCGTGCGAACGCGGCGCCCTGCTGGCCTTCCTGCTGCTGACCACCCTCGTGCTGCTGTGAGCAGTGCCCAGGCGCGGTGGGGAGGGGCCGGGCCCGCTGCCCCGCGTTCGCCAGCCAGCCCCTCCCTCTCCCGCATCCCCGCAGGGTCGGCGTCGTGTGTGCCTTCGTCACCAACCAGCGCGTGCACCAGCACACGGGCCCCAGCGTGGAGGCCGTGCCCGAGACCCTGCTCAGCCTGCGGGGCCTGGTCGCCGATGTCCCCCAGGTGAGCGCCCCACGCGCCCCCAGGCTGGGTGGGTCGTGCGGGTTAGGGACGCGCTCCCGCGCCGACCGCCCCCTGCTGGAGGGTCGTTGCAGCGCGCTGGGGGGGGGGGGGGGCGAGCAGGTGAGCAGCCCTGGGTTTGGGTGGACGCTCCAGGGGGGGCTTTCGGAATGCAGGGAAGAGCAGGCGCGTGGCTCTGTGTTTGCTTAGGAGCTGCAGGCTGTGGCAGAGCAGTTCTCCCTGCCCCAGAAGCGTGTCTTGGAAGACCTGGATGGTGAGGCTCACAGCTGGTTGCACCCTGTATCCGTCTGCTTGGGAACTCCATGACAGAGGACTGGGCTGCAGGATTTGAGAGTCTGACGCTGGGATCTGGGGAGGGAGGCTGGATGGATGAGGGGGTAGGGAGCAGCTCCCCCCCCCCCCCCAGCCTGTATTGCCATGTGCTCTCCAGGAGTTGGCCTGAACATCGGCAACACAATCCATGCCCAGCTCAGGGGTACCGTGGAGCATACACTGAACTCAGTGCAGAGCCTGGGTCAGGGTGAGTGGGGGCGCCCATATGGGGGCAGGGAGCCGGCAGCAGGTGTCCACACCCCAGCCCCAGTCAGCCCTGTAACCCCCACCCATGACTTTCTTTGACTTTTATATACCTTGATCTCCTCACTTCCATTGGCTTTCCTGCCAGTTTCTGCTTTGCCATGCCCTGAGGCTTCCCTCCAGCCCTGCCCACTGTTGGCTGGGGAGGGGAGGACGCTCAGGACTTCGTGGGGGGGAGGGGAGGGCACTCAGGACCCAGTGTGGGGGAGGGGAGGGCACTCAGGACCAGTGGGGAGAGGGGAGGGCATTGGGGGGAGAACATTAGGGGGGGAAGGGCACTCAGGACTCAGTGGGGGGAGGGGAGGGCACTTCGCCTCCTGCAGGTTACAAAGGATGAGGGGCCACTGCTCAGTAGCGTGGGTCTCTCAGCCCTGCAGATGTCTGTGGACCACCTCCGGGCGCTGAACGCCACCACCGAGGAGCTGAGGCAGGGCCAGCACACCCTGGAGCGGGCCGTGCGGGAGCTCCGGGGGCAGCTCGAGGCCCTGTTGCAGGAGGCAGGCTGCCGGGGCTGCACCTCTGCCCTGGGCCAGGCCCGGGCCCTGGAGCTGGGCGCTGACTTCAGCCAGGTGCAGGCTGGGAGGAGAACCCTGGGAGTGTGTGGGGGAGGGGAGGGTGTCTCCCTGGTGCTGGCCTGTGCTCTGGTGGCTTCCCACCATCCCGGGCCATTTGCGACACAGAGACAGGGAAGGGTTGTAGCCCCTGCTTCCTGTCCTGCCTGAGGTCCCCTCTCAGACCCTGCAGGGACACAGTTCTATCCGGCCCCAAATCTGCAGGTCCCTGCTGTGGAGGATGCCCTGCGCCGTCTCCAGGGCGTGCCCCGGGCCAACTTCTCCGAGATGGTGCAGGAGGTGAGTTGCCCTGCCTGTCTGAGGGTCTGGTGTCCCCCACCACTGGACATGTCAGTGTGTCCCTTCACCCCACCACCAAGCGTATCAGCATGCCCCTCCACACCCTACCCTGCCTATCTGAGGTCCCCCCACCACCGGGGTGCTTTTGCCTGAGACCCCAGCCATCATGTCCCATGGGATCGGGGCTGGGCTCTGAGTGCCCTGGTCTGTTGGGACACAGCTCAGATGGAAGAGCGGGAACCCCGAGGGGGTGGGGGCGCGAGCCAAGCTAGCAGAAGGCTCCCCTGGGTGGAGATTAGTTGGTGTGTGTGTGTGTGTGTGTGTGTGTGTGTGTGTGTGTGTGTGTGTGTGTGCCGTGTGAGTCAGCAACGTGACCCAGGGCCTGGAAAATGCCAGAGCTGGGGAAATGGTGAGTCAGTGGTACAAGGTGGCTGGCGTGGAAGGTTCCAGGAGCAAGGAAGTGACTGCTGGAGTGGGAAGAGCAGGTTGGAGCTCGACAGCTGTGGGGAGCAGACCTGGCTCTCTGGGCAGGGCTCCAGGTGGCAGTGGTGTGAGGGAAGGCGGCCCCTACAGTCTTGGGCCATGGGCTGGGGGTAGCCAGGCTGGCTCTGGGGGCGCTGAATTCGGCTGAGGCGGCCAGAGGGAACAACAGGGAGTGTGGTTTCCACTCTTGGGAGCTGGGAGCAGAGGAGAGACCGTGTCTCGGGGCTCCGAGATGGGAGGGCAGAGCCTTGTGTTGGTCCTGCAGGAGAACAACACCTTCAACGCCCTCCCGTTCCTGACCGCCCTCCAGGTGGCAGACAGGGTCCAAGGTGAGGCCTGCTCTGTGCACCCCAAACCCTTCCAAAGAGGCTGAGCCAGAGGGGGAGGGAGCATGGAGAGGATGGGGAGGTGGTCCATCCTGGGCTGGGGTGGAGTGAGCCTTCTCTGGGCCCCTACATGTGCCTCACGCCCATCCCCTACCCCTACCCCCGGGCCCCTGGACACCCTCCCCATCCCCTGTGTCCCTGCTGTCTTGGACAGAGCTGAGAAAGGTGGTGCAGAAGCAGCCCAAGGGGCTGAGCTCGCTGTCAGAGGGCTTCCCCAGCTGGGAGGCCGCCGCGCGCTGGAGCCAGGCGCTGGAGGACGTGGAACAGCGCAGCCGGCCCTACCTGAAGGAGGTGCAGCGATACGAGAGATACAGGTGCCAGTTCCCAACACCTCTGCACCTTGTCATCTGCAGCCTCTGCTGACACTGAACATGAGCCCTTAGCTCTAGGCCCTCTGGGGTCCCAGCTGAGCACCCCTGGGTTTGGAGGTCGGGACCAGTGGCCAGAGGGAGGGTCTCAGAAACCGACTAGACCACAGTCTTAATGTTCCCACCTTTGGGTGTGTGCCCCCGCCCCTAGCCGCTTGCTCGGTCAGTGAGAGACTGTCCAGGGTTACTGATGCGAGCACTTCTCATGGCAGGTGGATCCTAGGCTGCGTGCTGTGCTCCATGGTCCTGCTGGTGGTGGTCTGTAACCTGCTGGGTCTCAACCTTGGCATCTGGGGGCTGTGGGCCAGGGAGGACCCCAGCCACTCGGAAGCCAAGGGCGAGGCTGGAGCCCGCCTCCTTTTGATGTAAGCAGGGCTGGGCGGAGGGGCCTCTTGACGCTGGGCCACCCAGGCCCTCCCACATCTGTAGACAGCTGCTCGAGAGGCCACAGGGCTGGTCCTGGGGGTTAGAGCACCACCTGGAACCCCAACTCTGCTCATGCTGCTGCCTTGTGTGGGCCTTCGTGTCTGTGTGTTTCCACGCATGGGGTGAGAGCAGGAAGGGCATACTGAGAACCTTCCTGCCCTCTTGGGAACTGGTCATGAAGCGGGCATGTTTCCCTTCTGAGCCCAGTGTCAGCCACCAAAGCCCCCTCCTGAGGCCCAGCACTCAGAAGCACTTGTGAGCAGGGATGCAAATCCAGCCCACAGTGGACCAGCCCCAGCCCCCAAGTCTCCTGCCCTGCAGGGCTCTGCCTCCCTCACAAAGGAGCCCTTCTGGCCAGAGGCTCTGGGACTGTCTCTGCCCTGGGACTGGTCCCTACTCCCTGCTGGCTCCTGGAGTCATTCAGCCCTCCCACACACACCCCTAGTCCCAGGGTGCACAGCCCAGGGGGAGGGGGAGGACGTGGGGAGGCTGGAGTGGGCACCGTTAACCTTCTAGGTTCCCTGCTACCCCCCGGGAGAGGCTGGCCTGGCCTGCCAGCCCCCCATTCCACTCACCCCTGCCCTCTGCCTTCCCAGGAGCGCAGGACTCAGCTTCCTCTTTGCCGCCCCTCTTATCCTGCTGGTCTTCGCCACCTTCCTGGTGGGGGGCAACGTTCAGACCCTGCTGTGCCGCAGCTGGGAGAGCGGGGAGCTCTATGAGGTGCGCCCCACGCTCCAGCCCACCTTAGGAAGGGGAGTCAAATGGAATAGAGGGGCCAATTGGGGGGGGGCGTGGCAGGCCTGGGAAGGAAAACCAAAGTTTGCTGCGGGCTAAGCAGATGGCAGGAGCCCGGGAAGGTTCTCTGGCCCTCAGCCCCTCCGCACCCAGAAAAGCCCCCACCAGCCAGATGCTCATCTCCCTGCCCAGGACCAGGCATCAGGTCGCTTCCTCCGTCCAAGGGCAGGGTCAGGGCTGACTGGAGTTCAAGGATCTTCCATGCAGGAGCTCTGGGTGGGATCTGGTCTGAGCTGGCTCAGGCAGCCGAGGGCCAGGGGTGCCGGTGTGGCCTCCCTCGACCCCGACCCCGGCCAGGCCCCATCTTTCCCTCTGTTCCCTCCCCAGTTCGCTGACACGCCAGGAAACTTGCCCCCTTCCATGAACTTGACCCAACTTCTTGGTCTGAAGAAGAACATCAGCATTCTCCTAGCCTATGAGTGAGTAGGACGCATGAGGGGCTGTGGGCAAGTGAGGGGGAGGCTCCCCCGAGGGATCCTGGGTGACGTTCATCCCCTGCCTGCTTTCTCAGGTGAGAGCCATTCAGCTTTCTTTCCTTTCTCTCCTCCACAATGCTCGCCTGCAGGCAGTGCCGGGAAGGAGCTGCGCTCTGGAAGGTTCTACAGCTCAATGACTCCTATGACCTGGAAAAGCACCTGGATATCAGCCAGGTGAGGGAAACTTCTGGAAGGCTTTGGCGACCCTGGCTGCAGGCTCTCTCCTCTGGCCTTGCCTCTGTGGAGGGACAATCTCCTGGAGCCCCAGAAATCTAGAGGAGGGAGCAAGGTGCACAGGGGGCAAGCTCAGAGCCTGCCCCAGGGCTAGAACCTCAGGGCAGGTTCCAGGTGGGGGTGGGGAGCTGGGGGTGGAAACGCTCAGAGCATTGCCTCCAGGAAAGGGCACATGCGAGTGGTAGAGCATACTGGTGATGGCCCCAGGACTGTGTGATAGCCCAGGCCAGTTGCGTGGGGGTGTGGCCGCTGTGAGTGTCTGGGAAATGTGTCCTGGTGGTGGTGACGGACAGACGTGATAGGGGAAGGCTCAACCCAGGCCTCTTTCCCAGCTTGCATGGCTGGTGGTGGTGGTAGCAGAGTTTAGAACAGAACTGGAGAGAAGTGCCCTGCCAGTAGGGACGTTTGGTACGAAGAACAGAATGACTTCCCACAAGAAAAACTTTGGTTTTCCTTCCCGAGGCATGTGGCCTCCTGAATGTGATCCCACCTTGTTTCTCTCCCAGCCGGAGAGAGATGGGAGTCCAGCTGCCGTGACCCTGGGCTAGTCATGGGAATACCCCCATTTCTCTCACCTGCTGTCCATTTCAGGCCAACACTAGAACTTTCTAGAAACCCTGCCTCCTCCGTTGAAATGCTCAACCCACTCTCATCCCCACAGAGTAGCATGGGCTGGGGGTTGCTACCCAGCTCTGACTGCAAGCCTGGCTCCGTCCAGGCCCTGCTCAGTGGGAGCCCAGCCCTGGTCCTGCAAGAGGAGATGTCCAACAGGCCCCAGAAGGCCCCTGGGCCCAGGGGACACTGCCATCTTGGGGCCAAATATGACTTTTAGAGTCTAGTCTGCTGCTCTTTAAATACCTATCCTGGAGCTGGAGCCATAGCACAACAGGTAGGGTGTTTGCCTTGCACAAGGCTGACCCGGGTTCGATTCTTAGCATCCCATATGGTCCCCCAGGCACCGCCAGGACTAATTCCTGAGTGCATGAGCCAGGAGTGTGACCCAAAAAGAAAAGAAAAAACCACTTATCCTGCCCTTGTCAAATAACTAGACCTGGCATGCTTTCCAGGAAAGGAAGGTTGTCTGCGCGCAAACACCAGAAACCTTTATGTGTTCCTGAGACACCGCTTTCAGACCCTTCTCTAGCCCTAGGAGAGGGTGTCATGGCAAGGCTAAGAGTGAGCAGGCACATCCAGCCTCCATGCTGTAACTCACTGCTAACCCTGGCAAGTCTCTGGCCTCAGTTTCTCATTTGGCCAACAGTGGAGCTGAGGGTCTTGCTCTTCCTTTTCACTCTCTCCCAGTGAAACTTGCCTAATGCAGAGGCCCTTTTTATTTGATTTTATTTATTTTTGTATTGAATCAGCTTGAGGTATACAGTTACAAGGTTTTTCCATGATAGGGTTTCAATCATACTATGTTCCAAGACCCATCCCTCCAGTGTGTATTTCCCACCACCAATGTCCCCAGTTCCCCTCCTACCACCCCTCCCCCCACCTCTACGAGAGGTACTTTTCTTCTCTCTCTCTCTCTCTCTCTCTCTCTCTCTCTCTCTCTCTCTCTCTCTCTCCACACCCCTTTTGGGCATTATGGTCTGCAATACTGGTACCAAGAGGTTGTCTTGTATATCCATCCCTTTCCCACTTTTCAGCACTCAGTTCTTGTCCAGGGTGACCCCTGCCCTCTGCCGACGCAGAGACCTCGTTAGACAGCAGTCCCATTCTCACTAGAAAGGGCTGTTTCCTTCATTCTTTCCGCCATTCATTCATCTTTTGCACATTCAACAAACTCCAACCGTTGTCTCCACCCCACCCCCAGGCCACCACTCTGGGGTTCTGCCCAGACCTGGCAGACAACCCCGGTGAGCAGATGGCAATAAACAAACACACACATCAATGTCATGCCCAAGTGGCAGGTGCTGTGACGTGCCCACATATCAGACCAGGTCACGTGGTGGAGGGGGGCAGGGATGCCACTTCACCTCAGGGGGTCCGGGGAGGTCCATGGTACCATTCAGTGCCAGGGGGTGGGGGTGAGGGGGTGCACCCCAGTCTGGAGGAGGGCTGGGATGGTGGGGGTGGAGTAAGGGCCCCAGATATCCAGAAAAGGGGCCGGGGGTCTAGTCACCCCTCACCTTCGTGTTCCCTCTGGCCCCAGTACACCGCCCAACTGAAGCAGGACCTGAAGAACCTCAGGGTGAATGTTCAGAACTTGGATCTGCTGAGCACAGACGCCCGCCGGGACCTGCAGGCCCTGCAGAGCAGCGGGATCGAGCAGATCCAGTACCCCATCTTCCACAGCCAGGTCAGCAGCCCGGGGCAGGGAGCCTCCCCTCAGCCTCCTCCCGGCTCCCTGCACGTGATTGTGGAGGACTTCCCGTGCCCGCAGGCCACAAGCCCTCCCAGACTGTCCCCCACAGTCGCTGATCCTGATCCTGACCCCACACAGTGGTGAAGGGGCTGGTGGGACGTGGCCTCTGGAAGGTCATACCAGACAGTGCCTTGTGTTTGTTCTCTTGGGGGGATGCCACCCCATCAATGCTGGGGTGAAGTGTGCCTCAGTTTCCCTCCCATCCTGATGTGTTTCAGCCCCACTGCAATCTGTGTGACTGACGTGTCATCACAGGGTAGCTCTGAGGAGACTGGGAGTCGGGGGTACTGGCAGCACCAGGCTGCATCTCACTCCCTGTCTCCTGCTTCCTCCAGCTGCAGAAGCCCGTGCTGACCACAGAGGTGGAGCGGCTGGCCGAGGCGCTGGACAGGCTGGCACAGGCTCAGGTGAGAAGGCGGCAGGAGAGCATCAGGCAGTGGCCTCGAGACAACTGAGCGAGGGGTGGGGGGGTGGGATGAGGGTGTCAGGGGGCTGGTAGAACCCTGCCAGTGAGGGCTGAAGCCTGGACTGCAGGATTTTTGCTGTGTTCATGCTGATTAAACTTAGTCCCAGTTGACTGTGTGACCTTGGACTAATTGGTCAACCTCTCAGGACCTCTACGTGCATACTGCCTGTAGAATCTGCATCACAGGTCCTAAGAGCTCAGAGATGGGTCAGATACCATGGCCGTCCTCTCCAAGAACTAAAACATGTGTGTGTAGAGTGTGTGTGTGTGTGGTAGCATTTTGTACTTTTAAAGACTGAGAGTTTAGACCAGTGAGATAATAAAGGTAAAAAGTAAAGGCCCTCCCGTTGATCGTCGATTTGCTCGAGCGGGCCCAGTAACGTCTCCATTGGAGACTTTGTTGTTACTGTGTCTGGCATATCCAATACTCTCGGTAGCTTGCCGGGCTCTCGGAGAGGGGCGGAGGAATCGAACTCGGGTCGGCCATGTTGGCCGCTTGTAAGGCGAACGCCCTACCTGCTGTGCTATCGCTCCAGCCCAGTGAGATAATAAATAATAATAATAAAGGGTGCATACTTTGAATCCAGGGCTGGAGTGATAGCACATCTATGAATCCAGGGCTGGAGTGATAGCACATCAGGTAGGGCATTTGCCTTGCAAGCAACCAACATAGCCGACCCGAGTTTGATTCCTCCGCCCCTCTCGGAGAGCCTGGCAAGCTACTGAGAGTATCTCGCCCGCACGGCAAAGCCTGGCAAGCTACCCGTGACGTATTCGATATGCCAAACACAGTAACAATTGTCACAATGGAGACGTTACTGGGCCTGCTCAAGCAAATCGATGAACAACAGGACAGTGACAGTGACTTTGAATCCACAGTACCCCATTTGATCCCTGGCACTGGGCGGGGTCCTTCTGACTGCTGGGCACCGTAGGGCCTGAACAGTGCCATACTCTTGGGCCTGATGGGCTGAAACTTGCGGGGAGTGGCCCCCAGATCCCTTGAGCACAGGTTGGAGTCCTGTCCCCCAAAATAAAGAGAGGAAAAGAGAGAGGGAGGAAGGGGGAAAGGGAGGAAGGGAGGGAGAGAGGGAGGAAGGGAGAGAGAGGGAGAGAGAAGGAGGAAGGGAGGGAGAGGAAGTGAGGAAGAGAGGGAGAGAGAGAGGGAGGGAGGGAGAGCGTGCCTGAAAAAGTTCTGCTGGAGACAAGTTACATGCAGCCTGCTCCAGTGCAGAGAGAGGCACACGAGTTTCCACAGTGCTCGGACATTTCCTGATGGGCTTGGGGTCCACCCTGCAAGCCTGCTCTGTCCCTGTGGGCTCAGGAGCCTCCCTTCCGCCTTGGATGGTCTCTCTGGTCACTGGGGCACGCGTGGGGCGTGCTGGTGGGGTGAGCAGGCACAGGCCAGCAGAGAATCAGAGAATCCGCGTCTCCCTCAGGGGCCCACAGGGCTGCAGGCGCAGCTGCAGGAGAAGGCCCAAGAACTGAGGCGCCTCCACCAGCACCAAGTTGTCCCTCGGCAGGGACTTATGGTAGGTCCAGGGTGCCTGTGGGGGCTGGGCTCATGCAAGTGGGGGAGGGGTGAGGAGGGAACCCTCCCCACCCTCCCGCTTCCTGTACACCTGGCTCCTCAGCCACCCCATCTCTTCTCCACAGGCCATGCTCAACCTCAGTGTTGCAGTCCTGGAGTCCTTGGTACCTCGTCTCCAGGTGGCTGCTGAGGAGACCCGATGGCGGATGGCGGAGGGGGGTGGGTCGGGGGTAGGGGACAGCCAAGGGAGGAAGGAAGGGACCCAGGTTGCTTGGGGCCTGGCCCACTCTGCTCCCTGGCTCTGGCTGGGGCAGCAGGAGAAGGTGGAGTTGGGAGCCTGAGTCTGAACTTTGAGAGGGTGGAGGCAGAGAGAGAGAGGGAGGAAGGGAGGGAGGGAGGGAGGAAGAGAGAAAGGGAGAGGGAGGGAGGAATGAAGGGAAAGAGAGAAAGGGAGGGAGAGAGGGAGAGAGGGAAGGAGAAGAGAGAGGGGGAAAGAAGGAGGGAGAGGGAGGGAGGAAGGGAGAGAGAAGAAGAGAGGAAGGGAAGGGGAAGGAGGGAGGGAGAGAGGGAGGGAAAGGGGGAGAGAGAGGGAGGGAGAGAGGGGGAGGGGGAGGGGAAGGGAGGGAGGGAAGGAAGGAGGGGGAGAGAGAGAGAGAGAGAGAGAGAACATGTGCCTGAGCTGGACTGTCCTTCCCAGCGGGAGACCTCGCAGACCCTGGACGCAGTGGCTCACCTCACTGGAGAGCTGCCGGCCTGGACAAACCGGATCCTGAAGAATGTGAGCAGTGGGACCCTGAGCTGGGCGAGATGGCACCCCAGTCAGAAGGGGCAGCGGGCCAGGCTTCCTCTCCAGCCCATCACCCCCGTGATGCCCGGTCCCCGCCTCTGCCCAGCCCAGCGTCCTCTTTCCCCAGGAGAGTGAGTGCTTCCTGGCCCGGGAGACTGGCTACCTCTCCCAGTACCTGGACTGGGTGAGAGAGGAGGTGAGTGAGGGCAACTGCCCGCGGTCAGTCGGGTGATCTCAGCCTCTCACCTGCTCTTTCCCTGTATGCCCATCTCCCCCAGCCCCAGGGCTTCGAGACTGGACCCAAAAGCCCAAAGTGGCCATTCCAGCCCCCAGCTCTGCTGTCCCTCGGCTGTGTCCTTCTCTGCGACCTGGCTGTGAGCTGGGCTCCGGGGCCTGTGGCCCTCTGTCACTCCCCACCGGCCCTTCCTCATGCCCAGCTTGAGCTACCCAGCCCTCTCGGTCCACCTCTCGGCGTGCCCTGCAGCCACCAGCCCGGCGAGCCTCGAGCCCACCTGTGACCAGCTGTGTCTGTGCACACTGGTGCGGGTCCATCGGGTCTTGCCAGCGCAGTGCCTAACCTCACCAGCCATCAACAGGGGCAGAACGGGAAGGAGGAATGGGGGCCAGGGCAGGCGCCTCCGCCCACATGTCCTTGTGCCTTCCTGTCCCTGCATGGACATCTACATCCCCTGGACATTGGCTCCTCATGGTCCCTGGGCCATGCTGGGCCCCTGCTGCCTCTCCGCACCTCCTTACAGGCCTGCCCCTCACTCCACAGGTGACACAGCACATCGCCACCTGCCAGCCTCTGTCTGGGGCCCTGGACAACAGCCGTGTGATTGTGTGTGACATGCTCACTGACCCTTGGGTGAGCGCCTGGCTATCGACCCACAGTGGCACTGGGCATGGCCTCTGTTCTGGAAGCTTCCTCTGGGTAGGGGCCCCCGGGAGTCGGAGACTGAGCCCACCTTCCCGTTCTAGAACGCCTTCTGGTTCTGCCTGGCTTGGTGCACCTTCTTCCTGATCCCCAGCATCATCTTCGCTGTCAAGACCTCCAAATACTTCCGTCCCATCCGCAAACGGCTCAGGTGAGGGGCCTGCCAGGACCGTGGGTAGGGGCAGTGGCGCCTGGAGCAGGAGTCCCTGGCCTGATCCCCGCCCCACCCCACACCCCTCTGCTCCTTCTGGCTGAAGTGGGGGTCCAGCCCTGGAAAGCCACACCCCGTGGGAGCTCTGGGCCAGAAAGTTCCCCTCTTGTGGGTGGCTCAGCCTCTGGTGCTCACTCAAGCTCTCCACGATTAGCTCTACCAGCTCGGAGGAGACGCAGCTCTTCCACATCCCCCGGGTCACCTCTCTGAAGTTGTAGACCTCAGCGGGGTGAGTGTCCCTGGCCCTGTCTATCCTCAGTCCTCTGAGCCGGGGTGCTGGTGGGCTGGGAGGAGCTGGGATTGGGTGCTCCGGGAAGCTTGGGGACCTGCTGTCTGAGCGCCCCCTCCCTCGGCTTTGTTCTCATCGCAGGGCTCTGCACCCCCGACTGGCACAGTCCCTCCTGACCAGAGGGCGTCCGACATGCTGCCCCCAGAACCTGGGTGGGCAGTCCCACGGCTCTCTGACCCCACCGGCCTGGTCCCTTCATGCCCTTTCCTGCTTGGGATGCCCCTCCTTCATCCCCAGAAGCACATCCCCACCCCTGTGTCCTACACCGATCCTCCACAGGGGAACCCCTGACCCCTTCCACCCCTTTCCTCACCGCCACCCATTCTCCTTACCCCTTCACTTTCACTTCCATCAGGCCTCCTGCCCCTCCGGAAGTCCCTTCCTCTCTGGTTCCCTCTCTAGATCTTTACCTGCTCCCCTGCTGGTGCCCGCGCCCCCCCCCACCCCCCGCCCCATCCCCGGGCTGCTCCCACCCTAGCAGGTAAAACTGTGGAGCAAGCCAGGGGTCTCTGTGTCCTGAATTCAGGCCAATGCAGACTGTGTCTCGTGGCTCTGCTTCAGGGACGTGGACCTTCCCCAGAACACAGTGTGGACTCCTGCGTTCCCCCACCCCCGCCGGGATTAGGGGGCCCCTGTGTGTGGGCAGGGCATCCTTCCTGCACCCAAGAATAAGTGCTGCTGCCCCAGCTGCTCCTAGACCCCACCCACCCCAGCGGCAGCATCTCCCAGGGGGCGCTAGTGAGCCTTTTCCCACCCTTTCCTCCTGCTGGATGACAGGGCCAGTCACCTGGGCTCATCACTAGCCCATTCGCTGCCCTCTCTGCTGACTGGGTCCTGAGTTGCAGGAGTGGGCAAGAGGAGGAGAGAGAGAGAAGAGGAGAGAGCTGGACGGGACTAATCCACCCCAGTGTTCTCAACTTCCCTAAGCCTCCGCTTGGGTTGTTGGTTGATACCAGAGTTCTAGGCTGGTCCTCATATACAGCTGGTGTCTCAGGAGTGTTAGAGCAGGGCGAACACATGTCCCCTGACCACAGACGTGCAGATTGTCCAGGCAGCCAGTTAGATGGGAACTGGGGTGCGTTGGAAGCAGGCATACCTGGGCTCATGTGCTGGCTCAGTTCTTGTTACTGGGCCACCTTGAACGTATTACCCAGCTCTCATTTTCTCTCCTTAGAAAATGGGGAGGCTACTAATAGCCTTCTCATAGGGGAAAAACATGGTAATGAGGTGGAAGCTCTTGGCTGGGGCCATCACCAAATAATTGTTCCTGTGCTGCTAGTTTTTACCAGGGGCGCAGCGGGGTCTGGCAAGCAGAGGGATGAGTGAGATTATGTTCCAGTTCAAAAATATGAAGCCCTTCAAGATTATGGTCTGCTGAGCTGCAGGGGAGTTGGGGGTCTCTGTTTAGTTGTATTTTGCAAACCAGTGACAAAGTTGCTGCTAGGAATTAGCATCCTCACTCTTGCATGCAGACGCCCTAGTGAGCATTCATGAGGGTCAAGCCTGTGGCTTGTCCCTAAGGAAGTTTGCCTCATTTCTCATCTGCTCCCCTGTGTGCAGAAACTCTAGTGCCTTGAGTTTTTTGTTTGTTTCTCTGCAAGTTACTTTTAATTCACTGTCCTATTCCTGAAAATTTTCTGAAATCTTGAAATTACTTTTCTAAAAGCTTGAAATTATTTTAAAATAAAATATTAAAAAATCTTATTTTCCTGGGGGACTGTGATGCCCCAGTTTGAAGATTACTATTTTTATTTGTAGTTATAAGCTTTCATGTTTGGGTTACAATCACACAATTATCAAACACCCATCCCTCCACCAGTGCACACTCCCCACCACCAATATCCCCTGTATACCCCCCCTTTCCCATCCTCCCTCTGTCTCCATGGCAGACATGATTCCCCATAATCTCTCTCTACTTTTGGGCATATGGTTTACAATACAGACCCTGAGAGGTCATCATATTTGGTCCTTTATCTACTTTCTGCACACATCTCCCACCCCGACCAGTTTCTTCAGTCATCTTTTTCTTAGTGATCCCTTCTCTATTCCATCTGCCTTCTCCCCTTTGCTCATGAGGCAGTCTTCCAGCTATGCAGCAATTTATCTGTCCCGAGTATCTACTGTCCTTAGGTGTCAGCCTCATGTTATGTTGTTTCATACTCCACAAATGAGTGCAGTCCTTCTATGTCTGTCCTTCTCTTTCTGACTCATTTCACTTAGCATGATACTCTCCATGTCTATCCATTTATAAGCAAAGTTCATGACTTCATCTCTCCTGAAAGCTGCATAGTATTCCATTGTGTAGATGTATCAAAGTTTCTTGAATCTCTCATCTGTTCTATAGTGCCCTATAGTGAGTTTTAAGAATAAAGTTGATAGAATATAAAAAGATTTTAGGGGCTGGAGTGATAGCACAGCGGGTAGGGCGTTTGCCTTGCACGCAGCCAACATGACCGACACAGGTTCGATTCCCAGCACCCCATATGGTCCCCTGAGCACCGCCAGGAGTAATTCCTGAGTGCATCAGCCAGGAGTAACCCCTGAGCATCGCTGGGTGTGACCCAAAAAGCAAAAAAAAAAAAAAAAAAAAAAAAAAGATTTTAAAAGCATGTTCAGGGGCTGGAGCAATAGTCCAATGGGTAGGGCATTTGCCTTGCCTGCAGGGTTTGAACCACAGTACCCCATATGGTTCCCTGAGCTCACCAGGAGTGATCCCTGAACCAGGAGTAACTCCTGAGCACCACTGGGTGTGTCCCCCTCAAAAAAGTAAAAAGCATGTTCAGTCCTCTGTTAGAATGGCACATCTTCTTTGATATATTTGAGTTCCCCAAGAATAAGCATTTTAAAGTACGGCCACTCCCTCATTCATACGGCTTCCGTGAGTCTGTTTCTGATATCTCTTGTTTCTCTTGGTTTTTGTGCGTTCTGTGTCTGCTCCGGACGTACTTGGTCAGTTCTATTAGAGTATGCATGTTGTATCTGAAAACCCATGGCGACGAGGCACAGGAGAGAGCTTTCTCCATGGGGATCATGCTCACATGCCTCAGATGCCTTAGGTTCTAGCAAACCAGGATCATTTCAGGGACTGATCCAATGCCTGTGTGTTCTGGAGACAAAGCCCGCCAGGGTTCAACCACAAGGATGAATGCTTGCTCAGGCAGCCCTCTGGGTGGGCCCAGTTCTACCTCCTTAGTCCCGGGGATTGTTACCAATTCCTTTCAGTGTCTTGGGAGCTAGCAACCTCCTGTGCCCCACTCCCCAGGCGGGAATGGTTCTCTGGGAGAACCTTATCTTGGCCCTGTTATTCTTCACTGATTTGTTTACACACCACCCTCCTTCCTAATTCTACTCTAAAATACCAGAGCTAGGGAATGTGGCTCAGTGATAGAGCGCTTGCTCTGCACGTATGAGGTGCTGGGCTGGATTCCCAACACTGCCCTCTCCTCCCCTCCACCCCCCCCCCAATTGCTTTAAGGGCTGGAGAGATGACTCAGCTGGCTAAGTACATGCTTTGCATGCAGGATTTGAGTCTAATTACCTCCAGAAGTGACCCCTGAGCACTGAACTTAGAGCAACCCCCAGCACTACCGTGTGTGATCCCAAACCCCAAATAAAGAGATGAATAAACATAGACATATTTTATGCAGCTTTTTAGCTACCCTCAGAAGGGAATTTAGCCCAAATTTCCCATCTCGATACCAGTAGTAGCAGTCCTGAAATTGCACTGGAATTTCCCCAGTTTGGAAAAAGAATCCCATTCTCGGTTGTATTCAGAAATCTGAGCTTTTGCCTCATGACCTCTGACTTTTTCAAGGAATGCTGCTCAGAGAATGTCCTCGTCGGCTCTTTTCCTGGAGATCGGGATGGCATTTGTCAGATGACAGAGATACAGAAATAGCCACAGAGAAAAAATATATATCTTTCTGGTTTTCAAAATGCTGGGATCCAAAAATATGCATCCTACTTGAAGTGTGAAAAAATAAAAATCTCCTCTTGGTCACATTCTCCTGACATTCCCCAAAGAGGGTAGGAGCCACAGTCCATGTCCCATGGAACAATGATGCCTGAGAAGCCACACAGCTGTACCCAGCTGTGGATCCGGTCTGGGCCTCGTGACCCTGGGCTCTTATCCTCTGACCTGCCTGTCCCCTTTCCTTGTGAGTGTGAGAAGGAGACTCTATCTCCAAGCACGTGTCCTTTTGTCCCCGTGGCAGGAGGAGGGACAGTTGGGCAGCCCTGTCACAAGCCCCAGCCTGGCCTCCTGGAGCAAAGAAAGGCCCCAGAGCCATGATCTGCAACTTCTGCCAAAGGACTGCCGTGTGGGTGGGCTAGAGAGGTAGTACAGCAGGTAGAGCATTTGCCTTACACATGGCCAACCTGGGTTTGATCCCAGGCACTGTATTGGGTCTCCCCCGTGCCTCCAGAAATGATTCCAGAGCACAGCCAGGAGTGATCCCTGAACACAACCAGAACACCAAAACAAACAAAACAAAGCAAACAAACAAAAAAAAGTGTCATGCAGAGGTGGGGGTTGAGGGGGAGGAAGACGTCCCAAGGGCTGGTCAGGGCAGTTCTGACAGGCTCCAGGCCCACAGGGAAGGCCACAGGCTTTCTTGGTGCTCTGAGCACCAGCCAGAAGTCCTGTGAAGCTGCAGGAATCAGTGTTTACTGGCTAGCAGTTGAGCAAATGAAAGCAAAGAGCAAGTATGGGCCCAGTACAACCCACCCAAAGAAACCATTCAATAATGGGGGGGGGGGGGAGCGGGGGCAGGCAGTCGGCCCAATTCTTGGAGGGCTGCCTGCAGTCCTGCTCTGGAAACTGCAGCTGTGTCCCTCTTCCCAGACACCCATACCCAGAGCCTCCCTATGCTTTGCTCCTGATGCCCACTTCAGGGCCTGTGGGTGCCAGGGACAGAGACGGGAGGCAGGGTGGGGTGCGGGTGCTGCTGGTGTGACTGAAGCACCATCTCTGTGGTCCCCTGGTCCTTCCTGGTGCCTCCTGGGCCAGGCGTTCTTCATCTTGCACCCATGTGGTGCCATAGCCCAGGGATGAGAAAGGGGTGAGGGGTGCACAGAGATGACCCCAGCCCAGGCCTTGATTTCAGCTGCTCACTAGAAAATACCAAATTTTGGTCCCTGAAGTTGACCCCATGAAGGGTGCATAGGAGCCACGTGTTGAGGTCAGAGGATGAAACTGGGGGAGTGGAGGTGGGGATGAAAGGAAAAAAGTTTTAGGGGCCAGAGCAATAGTACAACGCATAAGGCTGACCCAGGTTCGATTCCCGGTGTCCCATATGGTCCCCTGAGCACCGCCAGGAGTAGATCCTGAGTGCAGAGCCAGGAGTAAACCCCTAGCATTGCCGGGTGTGATCCAAAAAAGTTAAAAAAAATTTACAAAAAGGAAAGAAAAGAAGCTTTATTACTTATTTATTTGGGGGTCACACTCTCAGTGGTGCTCGGGGTTAACTTCTAGCTCTGTACTCAAGGACCCCTCCTGGAGGGGATCAGGGTGACCCTTGAGGTGCCAGAAACCAAACTGGAGTCGGCCATGTGTAAGCAGGTGCCCTGCCTGCAACACAGCCTCTCCAGCCCCGGGAAGGGGGCTTTCAGAGGGCTCCCGGAGGGCTTCCCAGCTCCCTTGGAGCCTGAGGGCTCAGAGCTCGGTGCCACCAGCAAAGTCCACAGGGTGGCAGGCTGCGGGCCCGGTGTGTGGGGGACAGCAGGGCAGGCCAGCCCAGGAGGACAGCTCAGACAGCAGAGAGGAGCCAGACAGATGTAGCCTGCCGCCTCCGGTAACTGTGAGGTGCAGCTCCAGGACAGCCCCTCAGTCAGCCTGCAGGACCCACTGCTGTGTGTCATGGTGGAGCCATGACAGATGCTGTGCACCAAAAAGATCTGAGGGACCTGTGGCAGAGAGGTGGCCTCCTAAGTAGCTTTCCGATGTCCTGACTGACTGCGTGGGGCCCATGTGCGTTGCAGCCACAGGTCAGTGAGGTGTGAGGTGAGGGGCTCTTAATTACCACGTGCTTCCTCAGCTTTTGTGAAGGTGGGAGACCCTTCCACACAGAAAGTTCCCGAGTGAGGCCCACCTGAGCCCTGAACATCTCTCCTCTCAAACCCTGGTCCCTCTCTTCTTACTCTCTGGCTCTTGCCTCCCTCAGCTTTGTTTCCCCTTGGATCCCAGCCAAGGGCGCCCGGGGCCAGGGCACCTGATCTATTATAGGACCCGAGGAGAAGGCTCAGGTGGGGGCCTCATGAAACCAGGCGGGGTGCCCAAGGAGGCGGCTGTGGGCCAGGAGGGGAGAGGGCTGGCCACAGCGACTCCACGGCTTAGGGAAGAGTCGAGTGAGCCACTGTGAAAGGTCCCACGGGCACCTCAGCTTATTCCACGAGGAAACCCGCGTCTGTCCAGGTTTCACCACATCCCATCCCTCTCACCCTCATTCCTGGTCCCTCCCTACCCCAGCCCGTCCTCCCTGGCCCTCATGTATGGCTGAAACCCCCAGACTGGAGAGACTGTGGCCCACAGATGCACCGACGAGACTCTGGAAACTGCCACTCGCAGAGACTCTGCCACGGCCACAGGCTGACACACTGTCACCCTCAGGCCCCCTGCCAGGGGAAGCCCCACCTTCCTTCCCTCCAGCACTCCTCACTGTAGTGGTCTCTGCCTTCCCGTGCAGGGACGCACCTGCAAGTGTCCCAGACTCCAGGAAAGGGTGAGAGTCGGAGAGGAGGGGGATGCATGCCCCAAATCTCACTTCCTGAGGGGTTCCTGGGGCGGGAGGGGCCCGAGAGACTTGGGGATGGGGCCCTGGCAGAGGGATGGCTGTCCCATTTTATGCAATGGGATACTCTGGGGGCGAAGGGGGGTGTTCAGAGAGCCTCTCCTGGGGGCAGCCTCGGCCCCTGGCTTGGGTGGGTGATTCAAAGTGTTCAAGTGGATGCGGAGGAGCCTCGCAGGTGGTCCGCCATGGCTCCACATGCTTGCTGTGGGGATCGAGGCTCAGGATGCTGATGCTGGCTCTGTTCTCTAGCCTCGCACCCTGCAAAGAGCCTTCCTGAGTCCTCCCATCCTCCTCCATTCCAGGTTGTTGCCCTGGGAGGTGGGTCTGGAAGGGCAGACCACACACCACACCACACCACACTAGATCACACCCCACACATCACACTATACCACACACCTCACAACATACACCATACAACACGCAGAACCACGCCCCACAGTGCATGACACCATACCACACCACACCCACACCCTGTGTCACCACATACCGCGCCTCATACAGGACCACGCTATACCGCACACTATACGGTACACTAAAGCATACCACCACACACCATGCATCACACCACACACTACACTATACCACATAACATACCACACATCTCACTAGACTGCGCAGAACCGTACCACCCAGCACCCAGCACACGACACCACACCGCACCATGGTGCTGCCTCCTCTCCAGAAACAGGCTGGTTCTTTGGGGTCAACTTTTCCTTCCCCAGGGCCTGAGAGTGGGAGCCAATCGGCAAGCTCCAGTGAGGGGCGGCAGGAAGCGCTCTGCAGCGAGGAGGGGGTGTCTTGGCCTCTGTTGCCATGGGAACCACTGGCACAGGCTGGCTCCTTCGGTGCAGAAAAGGGAAACTTGGCTAGGGCTTCGCCCCTGACTTCTGGGTGATTTCCCCGAGGGGCTGGAAGGCCCTCCTTCCCAAAGACACGCTGCCCCCCCCAGACTTTCTCACCAGCCTCCCCCCAGCTGTGTCCAATGTGCTTCCCACCATAGACCCAGATGGGGACAGATGACCAGCCCAGGGAGGACAGGGTCCCTGGGTCTCAGGCTCCAGGTGGGGCGGGGGGCGCTCATGCTGCAGCACTCAGTGGGATACAAGGAGGTAATCAGGGGGCAGAGGAAAGAGCTGTCCCAGGTCCTCTGTGTGCCATCCCGGGATGTGGCTGGTGGCCATCACCATCTCCTTTTGGCAAGCCCCATGACTGTGGCTATTATGGTCCTTGTACCCCGGCAGGATGCTTCAGTACCAGGGGTGGCCAGAGGGCGTGTGAGGGGGATTAAGCTGGACCTCTCCTGTAGCCCCTTCTCATGGAGGAGTCTGAGGCCACCCCCGCACCCTGACTCTATGAGAGGGACAGGGCCAGTAGGGGGAGAGGCCCCCAGGAAGTCGCACAGCTGCTGCCCTCCCACAGGGGGGCAGGAACTCTGGCCAGGGTCCCCAGCACCCCGACCCAGCCCCCCCCACTCCTACGGGGAACAGAGTGTCTGTGTGTGTACTGCATGTGTGTGCATGCATGCATCAGTGTGTGTGTATGTGTTCATGATTGTGTGTGCGTGCGTGCGTATGATTGAGTGTGTGTGTACGTAAGCGTGAGCATGCTTGTGAGTGTGCATGTGTGTGAGAGTGTGGGTGTGTTAGTGAGTGTGCATATGTGTGCATGTGTGCGTGTGTGCGCGTGCCCTTGGGAGAGAGACGGGAGGAGTGGAGAGAGGTGCCTTCCGGCAGGCAGGAGCTCAGAGATGAGGAGGACTTACTCGGTACCATTTACACTTACTGGGGAAGGGAAAGAGCCTGGGGGAGGGAAAAAATATGCAAAACCGGGAGAGAGCAAACAAGGGGGGGGGCGAGAGGCAGGGATGAGAGGAGAGAGAGAGAGAGAGAGAGAGAGAGAGAGAGAGAGAGAGAGAGAGAGAGAGAGAGAGAGAGAGAGAAGCCAGAAGCGAACAGAACAGAAGGGGTGGAGCGCGTGGAAGCGGCGGCGGAGGAGGGGAGGGGAGGAGGGGTGGGCAGGGGGCGGGCGAGGAGCCGCGGTAACAATTACGTCTGGTCCAAGCAAACATGAGGCAACTGCCAGCGCCGGCCAGTGGTGCTGTTCCCCGGGGCTGCGGAGGAGCCTGGAGGCCGGCAACAGTTTCCCGCGGCGCCCAGGATGCAGCGGGCCAAGGTAGGTGCTGGAGGGGCCCGGCCAGGGTGGGGGGCAGGGGCTCGCGGGGGCGGCGCTGGGCTCGGAGCCTTGCCGTGCCTCCTTCAATCTGTCCGGAGATCCTCGGTAAGACGGTGTTTGGAAAGTAAGTGTTGGGGCCTTGGGGCGAGGGGCCGGGCTCCAGAGCCTGGTCTGGAGGGAAACTGGCCGAGGAGGTGTGGAGCAGTCCTCTGGCGGGGGCGTTGCACCCCAGATCTTGGGCAGGTGTTGGGAGTCGGGGAAGGGGGCAGGAGGAAGGGTGCTGGAAAGGAGGGACACCTGATGTTCTGATGTCCTGATGTCGGAGCTGGCCGGCAGTGCATCTTGTCGGTATTCAAGTGATTCATGAGTGCAGACTTCCCAAGAAGCGCGGGCGCTTCACGAGGGCATATTCTAATTATTCTTTCCATTTTGTGGCATTACTGGGAAGAAGAGAGAATGAGAGAGAGAGAGAGAGAGAGAGAGAGAGAGAGAGAGAGAGAGAGAGAGAGAGAGAGAGTTACTGGGACTGGGGAGAGAGAATGTGAGAAAAATGCCTAGGAGAGAGTTCAAGAAAGGGTGGTACGGGGCTGAGAAGAAGGAATAACTAAATAAAGAAGAAAGGGAGTAAACTGACCCCGAATGAAACTTCCCTGTCTGGGATAGTCTTGCTCTGAAGGAGGAAGCCCCAGTGTTAGTTAGGTCTGGCCCCTGGCAGCAGAACCCCCACCCTCCGCCCCCAAATGACAGCGTTTGCCCAGGCTTGGTTGTTCCTCTCTGGGAGACACAGGGAGAGGATAGTGGAGGACACCCCCCCCCACCCCGGCGCCCACCATCCTCGGGTCGGCAGGAGCCCAGCTGCCATCTGTCTCGTTGGCTTCCATTCCCGAGCTCGCCGGGTGGGCCAGCCCGGCTGCCGGGGCTCCAGCCAGCACACGCAGGTGGCAGGAAGGGGCGAGGGCAGGCTGCGAGGCCCAGAGAAAAACTCCGATTGTGAGCAAGGGAGAACCGACACAGGGCTTCCGGCGGGCTCCCCTCGCCCTCCCCAGGATGAATCTCTGATCTTGCACCAGTGAGGCGCCCCCACCCCCCACCCTGCCGGGGTTGGTGTCCAGGCTTGGCAGGAGTGATGACACAGCCTGGAGCAGGTGGCACTAGGTGAAGGGGCCACCTCAGAGTCGCCAACCACTCCCCCCCCCCCCAAGACTCAGAGCCTTGTTGCAGTTCCTGCTCAGCGCAGGGCACGCGTGGGGAGCCTGCACATTGCAGCCCACCTGCCCCGCATGCATACACACAGTGGGGATTTCCATACCAGGTGCCGCATGGGCACACAGAAGGGGGCACAGCAGTCACTGGCCCAGGGGGACTTGGCCACCCCTGCCCTGCCAGGTGGGCAGAGAGAGTGCTTCCTGCAGATGCGACTGCCCTTCTCTCGATGCTTAGGATGCTGCTATGATGCCGGGCATCCTGCGGTGGGGTCCCTGGGCTGTCCTGGCCTTAGACTAAGTCACCCCAGGGGCCCAGAGGAGGCCCTGCAATAAGGTGCCATGTGTTCCGCCCCCAAGCCTGCACCTGCCTCTCCCCATCATTTCCGGGTTCGAGCAACCTCCAGAAGAGCTGGCCCTGCCCAGCTGCAGACCCAGGGCCTTGGCGCAGACAGAGGTGCCCAATCAGTACAGTATCTGGGCTTGACCTCTAGGCTTTCAGGAGCAGGGGGCGGGGCAGGTAGGGGGGAGCATGAAGGAGCTGGGGCCCCACTGTGCAGAAGGTGGCTTCAGGGAGTATGTCTTCACGACCCCACACGCCCCAGACAGAATCCAGACACAGTAACTGAGGCCCTTAGGGTGGGTCTCCAGGAGGCGGGTGCAAGTAGGTTCTGCACGTGGCCACACCCCTTTTCTCGGCTTCCCATGGGGGTCCCTGATAGCCGAGGAAACGAGGCCTATCCTGGCTTTGCAGCTGGGATTGAGCCTTTTCATCCCACTCTGAAGCCCAGTTCTGCAGTGAGTCCTGCACCATGGCGACACGGGGGTGTCCTGGGAGACTGCCAAGAGGGGGCACTTCTAGAACCAAGTTGCTGAGGCAGTTCCTCGGTCCCACTGGGGAGCTGGCTCAGTGGGCTTGAGGGCCACCACCTTCTCTGAACCTTCTTTGAGACCCCATTCCCAGCCCTGTCCCCTGGCACAGCCAGATGACTTGGTGTCCTTTGCCGGGTGGGGGACCCAGAGTTGCCAAGGAAAGGACACCAAGTTTTGAGTTTGGGATCCTTTTTCTTTTCCGTCTTCTGCAAGAGGGAGTGCTGCCAGTGGGCACAGCTTTGGGTGGGTGGGGGGGCCTCTGCTGTTCCCCCCCTTCCCAGAGCTTTCTGGAGCTGCCGAGGTCAGCTGCCGGTCCTGAGTGTGGCCTCTGTGAGGGGGCCGGAAGTCCCAGTTTCCCAGTGGAGGGGACAGAGGGGGGCAACCTTGGCACATCTGTGTCCGCTGGGGGAGCAGGAAGGGTGAGAGGCTGCAGGAAGGCACGCGGCCTGTGAATCCGCCAGCCCCCGCCCGGCACCCCGGCCCCAGCTGCCTGATGTCTCTCTCTTGGACACGTGCATCTGTCAGCTGCCATCAGCTTGTGTCCTAGGATGCCACGGAGCAGTCACGTGGTGGAGCGAACCTTGGGAAACTGCAAATGCCAGAGGGGCAGAGGGGGATTGGAGGGAGTGGAGACCGCTGCCAGGAGGAGGCTGGTCTCCTCCCCGCTGACCTGGCCTCCCGAACCCTCCCCGCCCCCTCCAGGCTGCTATCAGCTTTGCACTGCTCAGCTGGGCATAGCAGCTGCAGTTCCTCTGGCTGGTCTCCAGACCTGCCCCTCGCCCCTGCCTCTCCACCATGGGCTGGGCACCGCCAGGGCAGGCAGGTGGTAAACTAGAAACCCTACTGCTGGGAGGCCTCCAGCATCCCCCCCCACTTTTTAAAAAAATTTGGGGCGACACCCAGCGATGCTCAGGAGTTACTCCTGATCTGCACTCAGGAATTATTCCTGGCGGTGCTCAGGGGACCATATGGGATGCTGGGATCAAACCTCAGTTGGCCGCATGCAAGGCAAGCACCTACCCACTGCACTATCTCTCTGGCCCTACCCCCAGTCCATTCTTATGGCCTTGAAAGATGGTGCCCTGGGCTGTGGCCCCAACCAGGGCTAGACCTGACTTAGCTCTGGTCAATCTGATCTGGTCACTTGGGCAGGGCTCTGGTCACTTTTCTCTGGTCACTTTGAGCTTGAGCAGAGCTCCCCTTTAGACTTTTAGGCCACGACATGAGCTGCCCCTCTAAGTGCTCTAAGCCTCTGCTCTGATCCCCGCTCATACCCTGAGCTGGCTGTGGAGACCACCACCAACGCACCACAGCCCCTGCTCACACACCCTTTAGGGGAAGGGTCCCAGGCAAGAGAAGACAGTGGCCAGAGAGGTGGCTTGTGGCTCAGCACGGTTGTGGGCCACCATTTTCACTGAACCCTTCTTTGAGACACCCCATTCCTGGCCATGACCCATGGATTAGCCAGATGACTCCGTGTCCTTTGTAGGGTGGGTTCCCAGCGTTGCAAAGCCAAGGATCCCAGAGGTTTGTGTTTGGGGTGCAACCTGGCTCCCATCACACAGTTCTAGGCTTCCCGCCTTCAAGTGTTGCCCGTGTGTCCTTCTCTGAGGAGTGTTTTCCTTCTCTGTGCCCGCTTCTCCTTCTTTTCCTGCAGGAAAAATGCAGCCACCTAGACCAGTGAGATCCCGAACAAGCTCTCTGGGTATTTTGTTTTTGGGGCCACACCTGGTGATGCTCAGCGTTACTCCTGGCTCTGTGCCCTGGAATCATTCCCGTTGGTGCTTGGGGGAACATAAGGTGATGCCAGGCATTGAACCTGGGTTGAATGTGTGGAAGACAAGTGTACTCTGGCTCCACCCTCTAGCCCAACCCTCTCAGTTGGGGGGCTGAGAAACGTTACTAGTAAGGAGCAGGAGGACACCCAAGGAGAATGTTGTCAGGCAGTGGGGGAGTGAGCCACCCTCCAGCCTAGGTAGCAGGATCAGGAGCATGCGTCCTTGGTAGGCAGGCGGCAGCTGTCAGGGTCAGGACACGCTGGTTCCCCACTCCCAGCCCTGGTGCTCTGCAGGGCCGTGCCAACCCTATGGGGGCAAGGACGTATGCCAGTGGCCATGCATGCATGTGTGTGTCCAAGGGACCTTTGCCAATCTCAGCTCCTACCCCCACAACCCAGGGTAAGTTGCCTCGTCAGAGTGGGGGTGCAGGTGGAGAAAACAGGGCTCCCCAGAGCCCCGCCCCACCCCTGTGTGGGCGGGATCCTCAGCCGCCTGACGGGACGCCCACTGCCACTTCCTGCCATCTGTCCCGAGTGATGGAAATAGAACCGTGAGCAGGGATGGTGCTCGGTGATCCAGGCTGTGCCGAGAGTCCCTCCCTGGTCACGGAGTGGGAGCAGGTAACTCGTCATCTAGACAGCACTAGCTGGACCCCACAAGCCATGCTCTGACCTCAGTCCTGGGACCAGGGGAGTCGGGGCAGCTGGAGACCCCTTTCAGCCGTGGACCAGACCTGGGAGCCCCCTCTCTGCTGGGGAAGCACTCACAACATGAGCTGCGCCTCCAAGCCCACTCAAGAGCTCTGTGGAAATGGAGCAGTCCGCAATTCACCAGGAGCCCGGGGACAGAGCATCACTGCCGAGAGGGGGACATGAGTGGTCGGAACCCCTTTACCCACCTGCAGGATAGGCTGCTCTCTGAAGCTCAGCACGGAGTCAGCTTTACAGAGGCCTTGCTCCTGTGTATCCCTCAAGTCCCCACTCACCATTTCAGCCAGAAGCTGTGCAGCTGTCCACAGGGCAGTGGACCGGACAGATGCCCTAGCACAGCACTGAGCTCTCCCACTCCGTCCCACCACCTGGCCCGGGCTCAGCCCCTCTCCTCACCGTGGGCCTCCCCACCGCCACAGCTGGCCAACTGTCTAAAT